TCAGAGATAAAAGAGGAAAAGAGGCCGCGACCGGAAAAGCGCATTTAACGCGATTTGATGGTTTACAAATTGGCTTAAAGGAACCAGAGAACCGGGGAGTGTGGTGGGGAGTCGGGGAAACGGGAAATCGGGAAATCGGGGAACCCGGGAAACATCTCTGCCAACTGACGGCATTCGAAGGGTCGGAGGTTGAGGATGCTGCTTGTTGTGTTTGGATAAAAGATTGTAGCGATAGGGTTGCCAATGAGGGATTTACCGGAGACAAGGTTTTCGCTATAGAATGGAAATGGAGTTGAGTGTGTTAGGGGATTCTAGATTGTTACTCAAAAGAAAGAAACCATTTTTTCACTTGGAAGATTAAAAGAGTATGCAAAGGGTTGGAAGGGTTTCTCAACTATTATTGAATATTTAATTTGATTTTTCCTGGAAATATATTAAACTGTCTATGGCTATTGTGTATATTATAATTAAATCAGTTGAAGAGTAAACGTTTAATTAAAGGGGTACATAAACTTAGAGGCATTTGTTGCCTCAAAGAATACTTTATTATTATTATAATATTCATTGGGGCAATCAACATTATATCAACCTTTTTCTGTAAGTATAAAAAACCTAATTAAATACTATTTGTGTTATATTCAAAAAAATATATAGTATAAAATATGAAACCACCTAGCTGCTTATTCTGTATGCCCCTATCTTGGGCTAAAAATATTATCTAACTATTTCATAATCCAGTAGCAATATCTTCCTATGCGGTCAGACCCCGTTCAAAGACCCCGCTTACTCAGAACTCTATAATTAAGTGCATTACAGGCGGCTACCATACCCTCGCACTTCCTTTGTTTGCTCACCTTTCCCCGAGGCGAAGTGAAGCGAGTAAAGCGCAAATAACGCTGACTATTTACCAAGTATATTCAACTGGCTGGAATGTTCGTATCGGATCGGGGCCGACATAGGAAATACCCGGGGGTTAATAGCAGGCACAATGAACCATTCCAGAGTTACTTAATTGATGCCTTAATCAGCATGACTGTGAACTTTTCAGCGGTAATCTATCCAGAAGATGTCACATTCCAAAGTTGATGGATTTATGGGTTTGATACTTTTTATCACGATCTTATCACCAGACTCAGAGGCGTCGCCTTATATCTGTTGACCTCCTTTGTTTTTTTTAACCAAGCTGTTAGCAACAGTATGGCGAAATGATTGGGTTAATTATAGTGCAGATATACCAAAACGGGTTGAATAAGTGGTGGGTAATTTTGAAGTCATCACGTGAGCTGTGTCACTTGATTAGTCTGCCTTGCGCATGCGCAACCGGTTCACACCTGTTCATTTCTGCCAACCGGCGTCTGGCACGCAAAAATACGAACATAAATATTATAATGATATAAATATTAATTACACGTTCGCACCTGGTTTTAATGCTTTTATAATATTGTTTTTTTTTTTTGGAAATTAATTAGTATTTTCAGGTGAATTTGTATCGATCGGGGGTGAGTTTCCTGATCTAATTGGTCTAATTAGACTGGGCATCAGCGAGTACCAGAACCCTTGATGCACAGAAATGGGTTGGAAACCGTGCTAACGATTGATATTGTCGTGGTGAATTTCTTAATTGGATGGGAATGAAACAACATAAAAGATTTCCCCCTGCAATATTAAAATTTATTACTCAGATAGTTAAAATAATAACAATTGGAACTTATTAATTGCTTATATTAATATTGAAAAAATTTTCATTACTTTATTTATATTTTTGTAAATATTGAGGCCAAAAACAAAAGTACTTAGCCTAAAATAATTTTTGTTAAATATTTAAAATAATTATAAAATAATACGCGTTATCATCTCTTTGTAAGGGAAAAACATCCGTTGATTGCATCCGTATAAATATAATTATAGCTTTTGCAAAATTCCAGCTCGAACCAAATTGAACTGACATTTACAGCAATCATATCGGCCCGCATCAGAAACACATTTGTTGTGTTGCTTAAAACAAAAATTATTTAGCACATGTTTAATATAGAACGTAAATAGTAATCTGACGTATGTATAAGCTGCCAAGATGATTGGTGAGCCACTCGAGATAAGGAATCACCGTGATAAACAATGCAACCGGCTACTCCAAATAAATCATGAGTACGCATACACATACTTCAGATAAATGTTAGAGCGAAGTGCCCAAGGGGTTTGCCCACAAAAGACACCTGGAAATAACAATAAATACACAACCCACATTTGTACATATGCGTAGCTTTGCAAATAAATATTATTTATATGATTTTAAAACAATAACTCAATCAGGCATTGTCCCGTTTCCTCATTCAAGCCTTTTAACCCAATTATTTCCATTCAATTTAGCTTTTAGCATTTAGCATTTAAAGCGCAAAAAGAGGTCATTTTAATGTACTCAATTGCTGATTGATTTGCCAGTGCCATTTGTTTGCCAACACATTTACGAGCGCCATAAAAAAGATTTTCAGTAATCTATCAATTGGAAAGCCCGTGACAAAGCCTCTTCAAACCCGATTAAGAGGACCTATTTTGAGTGCAAACAGTGTACCGGCTTTAAGTGCTAATATCAATAAAATAATTCGAAATTGATAAAGCTCTAATCATGCGTCACTAAGCCTGTGCAGAATGCTAATTGCAATTGATGCTCATAAATAGAACACCACACACAGAAAAGTCAATATTAGCAAATGGAAAATTCATAATCAGGCATTCGATCGAATCAATTTGTGATTTACAAATAGTTAACCGCAAACACCGGAAAAATTACTTCCACTAAGCACACAGACAAAGCAACTTGGCTATTATGCAATTGCATTAAAGCACAACATAATTGAAATTGTCCTACAACATTTCAGACTTAATATCGGCAGCAAAGTGCAGCAGCCACAAATTGCAAATAATGAAATGGAACGAAATAATTAAATGCAAATTTTAATAAACACCAAAAAGATAATAAAACATGCACTGCAACAGCCAAATAACAAATGTTGCCAAAAACTAATGAAATGCTCGCTGCAAAATTGTCCGTGAAATGCTCACGTTTCGGCAGCATAATGCCAATGCATAAAATTAAATGTAAATGATATGCAATAAACATGAAATATGCATGGCCGGATTAGAAGAAGAATTTCAGATAGTTTCCAGTAGAAATGCAACGAGATATAAATAACACTCAAATGCATTAAAGCTGTTGTGCACTGTATATGCATTAATGGAAATAAAGTGGGGTATATATTAAAAAGCAGGGACCGAAAATAATGATTATTTTTTTTGAGTAAAAAATAAAAATCTCCATTTAATGATTATTTTGTAAGCAAAAAAAATATCGCTCAGAAATAATGATTATTTTGTGAGCGATATATTTCGCTCAAAAATATCACTCAAAGTGCGATTACAGCCGTTCTGTACGGAATTTTACAAACTTTTAAATTTCTGCTTGTAGGTAGAACCACGGAGCACATATTCCGTTAAGAAAAAAATAAATTTTCTTTGTATAAACCGCTTAAAAAAACAAAAAAATCTTTTTGTATAAAAACACTTTCTGTGGGAATCGAACTCGTGCTTACAGCTCGGTGGACCAACACACTAACACCCAGCCCACATGTCGGGTTGGATCTAAGTGGAATAGTTCATAACATCTTGTTAAGTCGTTTTACTAATAAATAAATGACATAAAGTTCTAAGGTGGATACAACTTGTTGTATTTAAGCATACCTCATGTCAACTAAAAACCGCGTTTTAAAAAGTTTATACAAAGAAATCACCTTATTTTATTAACTCGATGTGTGCTCCGTGGTTCTACCTACAAGCAGAAATTTAAAAGTTTGTAAAATTCCGTACAGAACGGCTGTAATCGCACTTTGAGTGATATTTTTAAGCGAAATAATATCGCTCACATAATAATCATTATTTCTGAGCGATATTTTTTTCGCTTACAAAATAATCATTAAATGGAGATTTTTATTTTTTTACTTATAATGATTACGGTCCCTGTTAAAAAGTAAGCAATCAGTTCTGGGTGATTAAATGGCACTGGTTTATATAAAAGGTTTAAGGGAAATCGTAAATTGTTACCACAAATTATTAAAATACAAATAATAACGAATACTTTCACTAGAATAGGTAATTTTCCATTATTTTTAGTGTACATAGAATATATTAAAATTCTGGATTAGAAATTGTGAGAAATCAGTTGTAGAAAACAAAACAGGTAGGAAGAAAAACTACGAGTTCATTTAAATAAAAATCTTGAATCTTGCATATATATAATAAATTCAAGTTACTAAGTATACTTAGTATGAGATTAAGTGCTAAATACAATAATTAAAAATATCAATATTTATTTTAAAACCGCAAGATTTATTTAAAAACATAAATCAAAGCTCTGGAAGACTGTTAATAAACAAAGGTTATCAAGGCTTAAATTACTAGGGTTATAAATATTTTAAAATACAAAATATGGCTGCCACCAGAAGCTAAATCAAAACAATACGTCACAAGCAAATAAATCAAATCAAAAGTCTACAGTAAAGCAAAATCAATTGCTGCAATCGATTCGGAATGATTACTGATTGGCTAGTTTTAGCTTTCATGCGGCTGCACGTAGCAAAAATGTTAGTAAAATTAAATGTAAAACTAATTAGATAACTAAATAATACATTTATCTGAACTTAAAAATGGATTAAAATATAAAATTAGGTAAAACATTTAAAATTCCAATTCTGTATTTTATAGATAAGAGATAGGATTATTGCATAAGATAAGGATTGTCCAATTGCTTCCTTAAAATTAAAAATAAATAAATTATAAAAAAAATAACTATATAGGTATAACTTAAAAAATGATTGATAGTTTTATTGAGCTTTTTTATGACCAACTTTTGAGGTATTTTTTTAAAGTGTCATTTTTGTCTCCGGGTGCTGTCGATCGCGCTACCTCAGTTGATTTAATTTTTTGCGGCGTCTTCACGTCAGAAGCAGTTTGGGCCAGACATAGCTCAATCTCAATCTCGATCCGTATCTGCATCTCAATCTCAGCATCGCCCTATGTTCCGTCATTCAGTCAGTCACTCAGTCAGTTAGTCAGTTGGCAGTTCATTCATTCGGTTTGTTTGCCAACAGTCGCTGCCTTTGGAGCGATATTTCGCGGTCGCAGTCGACGTCGCGCTGTCACCGCTGGCGGCAGTTAACTTCTCGCTGTTAACGTGGCTATAATTGCAAGACGCAAAGAAAGCAGTTTTAATTGTTGTAAACAAGCGCGCGAGTTCGGTTCATTTGGCAAAACAAAAACAAACGACCAGAAGTTCTCCGCGAGTTGTTCAATCAGTTTTTATTGTTGATAAAGGTCGTGAAAATTGAATTGGAAAATTAAAAGCGAATGGCGCCAACTGTTTAACGTGAAATGAACGGCTATTTCAATCAGCCAGTGAAAAAGTAGAACAAATATATAGAAATTAATTGCAAATGATTTGTGAACGTTGTATATAAAAAGTAAGATTTAATTAATGCTTCCTACTTTTCAATATTGCATGTTTGCTGTTTTGCTGCCTCTTTAATAAAAAAGCAAATACATTTGATAATATTATTTTAAAAGGCGAATAAAACCGCAATGGCAATGAAAACTTTTTTTAATTATTTAAAATATCAATTAAATTAACGGTTTAATTCTTAATTTTTTTCGAAGAAAAGTAAGGAACAGAAAAGCCAAACAAATAAAATATTAATGAAAATATTTATCAATGAAAAGTCAGCAACAGGATTTTTTTTTCTTTTATCAGTTTCAGTTTCTTTTCAATGAATATTAGCCAGAAATATTTTTCTTATTTGTTATGACATTAAAATGATTTGTCGTGCCTCAAGCTCTATATATAGTATATGCACTATCAGTTCCCAGTCTAATCTAGTATTCATAAGCATCCAATTATTTTGTATGCAGAGGCGTTGAGAGTTTAAAATTTTCCGCTTGATTTATTCATTAATTGCATACACTATCCGTCTGGTCTACTTAAAGTATATATACTTATAAATGGCCAGATATCTGTACTGAAATTCAATAGGGCTCCCCAGCTTTAATTAATGTTTATAGATGCTGACAACAAGCGGCCTAATTGACTGTTATTGAAGCTGTTCTAAATATAGAACAGTCGTCCGTCATTTAATGAGATGGGTGTGTGCTTTAAGACTCGGGAAAGTATCTGATTGATAGGCAAAGTTACGCCTATCTAGTTGTGTGTCGATCAAAGTAATTGAATAAAGATTTCCAAGTTATACCAGATAAAATTTAATTTTATGTTTCTATTTATACAAATAAATAAGGAATGTAATTATATTTTATTTAAATCCGGAAGAAAAAAACAAATATTAAAATATTATAATTCGTATTATCAGTTTCTTCAGAATATTTCCACTTTTTTTTAAATTCAGGAATGTAAAATCATTACAAAATAATATGATAATTGGCAGGTTGCACGTGTGTTGCCTTGGATTCAGCTATATGCACTTCACGTGTAATCGAGAATTAGCATGGCAAATATGGGGAGATTTTACAGCCTCGAAAGTGGCGGAGATTAAACGAAACAGAGCACAGCTCCAGAGGCATGACAAATGTTTTCCCTCATTTCCACTTGGCAAATCAATAAACTGAATTCATACAGATAGACAGCCGAAGGAGATATAGTATATATATAGTATGTGCATATGTTTATTGCTAAGATAAATTCCCCGCGAGCAAAACAGCAAACAGTAAAAATATATGGGAAAAAAGGAGAGCTTAATGCCAACGATCAATATTTGAACAACAAATCAGCAATGAGAGCGAAGATACAGATACAATTTTCAGAAAAAAACCGTACGAGATGCGTGAAGCGAATTAACACCGATGCGTTAACACAATTAGTTGAAAAGTGAAAAACGACATAAAGTAGAGGCAGGAGATTAAATAAAATAAAATATATATGCCATTCGGGAGTGCCGACAAAAAGCGGGCCAGCAATTTTGCAACTTTACACTCGACGGGCGTTTTCAGTCGCGTAATGAAGCTCCAGCATCGCGGCTGAGTCGAAGAAAAAAACACATGTGCCAGAAACTAAAGCTAAAGTGATAAAAAGAAACAAAAATATTACAAAATAAACAGTTCTAAACTATGGCTGATTTATTGAAAGCGCTGAATATCACGGGCAACCTGCTGGCAGGCCTCGAAGATACCGGCAATCTAACAATTGCAACTGCAACGTCCACAACTTTGAGTGAAGGCCTCAATGGTACGGCAACGACCTTGGATGCCACATCCACCAATAGTGGCGAAAAACTCGATCTTGGCGGCTTCGATTTGCCTGGGAACTACTCGATACTCATTAACAAACTGGAGCAGCTGGCCCTGGGCTTGGATTCGGCCTTGGGAAATTTCACCATCGACCGCCAGGAGGTCGAGATCAACTTGAGTGGCGCAGCCTCCGCCAACGAAGTGGCCGATGTGGCCGACGATCTCTTCGATGTACTGCCAGCTGCTCGGGCTCCGCCGCCGCATATAGCCCACGGATCGAGGATATATACGGGCGACGATGGCCAGGACTTTGCCCATGTGGTCAGCGATATCTGGATCGGAGTTATCCTCACGCTGCTCATCGTATTTGTGATATTCTTCATTTGCGCTTGCTTCGTTTATCACAAGTTCCAGCAGTGGAAGAACTCATGTGAGTGTGGCCAATGCGGCGTATACGTGATGGGATACGTGATACGTGGGGTTTAAATTTAATTTTAAAGCACAGCGATGTTTGGCTTACTTCTTAGTTAAGTGGGATTTAAGTTAAAGTTATTAATTGTGAATTAAAGGATTTGCTATAATTTATGGTACTAAAATAATTTTTAACAAAAATGTTTATATCGCATTTAAATATTGCATTTTTTACCCTATATATTTCGACTTTTAGGCAATACCTATAGGGTATTACTACTAAGAAAGTAAGTTATTTTTTACTTAGAAAGAAATTTAAACCAATTCACTGTTTCCCTAGCACAAACACTCCTGATCTCATGGCAAATAGTTTAAAGCCACTTAACCAACCCGTTTGAATTTCATCAACGTCAACAGACCAACAATCATCCAATAATATTTCGCTATACTCAGTTTACATTTAATCTGTGCCTTCATATTTACATACCTGACAGATCAAACATAAACAATTACTCACGTAACCCGATTGTGCTATTGAAAATTCAAATTCGCGGTAATCCATAAATCAAATTGCAGAATCATTGAAGCTGAATTAAACGTCAGTGGAAACCCGTTTAGACTTGGACTTTGGCGCGAAGAGCGGCGAGAGCCAGGCAAATAAAAAACAAAAATAGAAACCGATAAAAGCAAATAAACAAAAGTACCAAAAGCAAAGTCTGCGGTAGGAAAGAACTTTTCCAAAACAAATGAAAATAGCGTAAAACAAAAACAGAACAATAAAGTCGGGCCCAGCGGAGAATGATTCACCTCCAAAGGGGGAATTGAAATTTCAGTTAGTGTTTATTTAGCACATACCACACAGTCGTATCTTGTGACTTGGAAACAGTGGCGAGGAGCACAAGACATTTCACAGCTTGGGTGGCTAATAAACAATACATGGGTGTACACTATGATTTGTCTGTTTGCGCCAACAATTTGCCATAATAATAATTAGAAGCCGCAGAACAGGAGATAAAGCACTGAAAAAAAATTACTAATTTGGTTAAATAACTAAAAGTTGTTAAAAAACAATTTGTGTGCGTAAAATGAACTTAGTTGTGTTTAAAAATACCTTTCAAAAAGTAGAAGACACTTTTTTAATCGGACCATTCATTAAAAATTATGATCAAAAATTGAAACAGCCGCTAGATGGAGCGATCAAAAATTTCAACAACCGCTAGATGACGCTACCTTTGATAACTGCATATCTCCATCTCCCTCGGACTCCCTTTAGCTGAGTAACGGGTATCTATTAATCGAAGTTCTCGACTATAGCGATCTCTCGTGTTTTTTTATATGAATTAGGGGATATTATCTATTATAATCACTATTTAAAATCACCGCATAATAAAAATAAATGGACAACATAATATTTTGTGTAAGAGACGACAACGATCCGAATCGAAATCATATTTTGTCCGGTTTCGACTCTCCTATAAATTATAAAGCAATTATCCCAATAAATTTCCAACTACATTGATTAAACAGTGGGTGGGAGAAGAGCACCCCAGACAATGCGTTCTGGCTCTTATCTTTCGAGAACCCCTTCTCCGAGCTCCTTGTTCCATTGTCTTTGCCGTTGGCCGCCTTCAAAAACAAACATAACGTTTCCAGTTAATTAAAGTTGCAGTCAAGTGGCCCATTTATAGTGAGAATCTCGAGCACTGGCTGTTGTTTACATTTGCCAACATCTCGAGCCCCCAATACTTGTGCTTCCAGCGCCTCTATTACACTGCAAATTTGTGTTAATTAATTAAATTTCTCTTGTCCTGCATTTGGCCAACTGACTGGCGGTCAATTGTTTGCTTATGGTCAAAATGTCTGCTGGCTAATTTCTTTCATTCGTTTGACTTCAATTAAGCCAAGTCGATTGCCCTGATAAGGGGCGAATGTAAGTCAAGTGCAGGAAGTCAGAGACCTCAAGCATTAATGGGTTCAAGCAAACGTTCGGCCCAAAGAAAATAAATGTGTAAGTGACTTTTTCACTGATAAAGCCTAACGCAACAAAATCGGATTGCATTGGGGATGAAGGGCAATGGCAGAATTCACTATCATGAAAGGAAAGTTGACCAACCATTATGAAGTAAGAATTTGACAAAATTGTAGGTGAACTTCAATTTGTCTTAAGAGCAACGGTTAAAAATTTAATTTATGAAAATTAAAGTTTTAAAAATGTAACATAAATTTAAACTGTTAAATCTGCTCCTTAAAAATAAGGTAACAAATGGGTTTAAATTAAGTATTATTCTTTAAATATCGCTACGTCATTTAAATTAAAAATAAATAATTAATATATTTTTTTATATTTATTCAAAGTTATTCAATTTTATAATTCATTTAACTTTCAAACTATTTTAAAATTTAGAAAATGTAAGGAAAATAATACTTGGATTGCATTAAGTAACTACTAAATTTTTCTCACTGTCTATGCTTGGTTATTTCTAACACTTTTCTCTTAAAACTGTTCAGCTGTTGTTTATTTCAAATAAACTAAAAAAAAAAACCACCAAAAATGTTCGACTTGGCAACCAAGAAAAGTCAACAGTCAGATGCTAAATACTTTTGCCCAACCACACCCCTGGTCTATTGACGATAACTTTTTGTTAGACTTTTTACCCATCCGTTTTTTGTAGATACCCAATGCCTAGACACGTTTTTAGGTGATCTGTTCAAACAATATATTTGTATTTATATTCATAGAATATGAGGTATTAAACATTTGGCATTTTCCTCGAGCGAATTAAATATGAGTGCGCTTTTTCAATTTCCTTTGATGACACTTTTTTCTGGAGAAGTAAAGAGAGCCTTTATCAAACCGCGAAACGTCACTCACGTAGGCCCAGACAACAGTGCGTATGAGTGACGGGTCGTGACATGGCGTTCGTTTTGGTTCACGGCTGTTTAATTTCCTTTTAATGAGTTGTTTATCTTTGTGTTGTTGCTGTTGCTACCGCCGTCATTGTTGCGGGCATCGCATTGTTATTATTTTAACTGATTTGCCTCCCAATTTTCTGTTGTTGGCCAGAACCACTTATTGTTTTAAGCTGACACCCTTGACTGGTTTGCTTGGTTAAAGGCTTTAAATGGTAAATATATGTTTAATATTTGTATGCGGCCAAGACCTTTAGGCCACAAATTAAATTCCCTTGCTCCGGGGGATTTATGTTGATAAGCTGGTTAAGTTATGTTAACATTAAGCGGGTTCTCAGAATAGCAATTTCCTTAAAATAAGGATTTATTAATGTGAAAACGAACAAGTATTTATTTTTACTAGACAACAACTACCTAGACAATCAATAGGCCATAAAGATAAAAGATAACTTTGTAGTGCCCCCAGTTATATGCTTATTGTGGGTGATACCAATTAGCTGAAATGCCGAAGTACGTAGTAAAGATAAGGTGTTTAAAGATCAATAGAAATATGCGTTAAGCCCCTAAAAAACTTGAAGTATTAATAGAAAACCTTAATATTTGAAATTGGGTGCAAGCTTTTCCAATAAGCTTTAAAGTGATACTCTTACAAAAAGACTTTGTGAACTGTAATAAAAACTCTTGCTACAATTTTAATAAACCTCGCTACCCGGCAAATAAAACTTAGCGAATCGTTAATTAAATTAGGACACTCGAAATTGATTGAATTTGCAAATGTAATTAACATTCACGGTGCTTTATCGGGTTTATTAAAGTGCAAATTGCAACGGCAATGGCGATGCATCATCAGGGCCAATGTCCACGGAGGTCTTTAGATCGAATCGAAACGAATCGAATCCGACTTTCTCCGCCATTCCCCCAAAAACCCGCGATGGATTCGCATTAAGCTGCTTTATATAATGCAGGAGGGCAAAACACTGACGTCAATACAGAATGGTTTTCACGGCAGACAACAAAGCCGTAAGCTGCTTACGGATGTATATATACGCACGTTTAGGATCAAGACTTTAAACATGTATACATATATGCAAATGCCATTTGTTGTTTTCGATTTGCGGCTAAAATTGAATCGAAGCGCGAAATTCGCATAAATATGCTAACTGAGCAGGCCAAAAATGTTGCGCAAATTAGCAGCAGTAACTAAAATGGCATTTCGCGTTTGTATTAGTAATGGACGTAATAAGGCAAATACTAATCAGTATTTCAAATTCTGGAGTAGACTACGAAATACTGTGGATTTACTGCGGAAATACGAAAGTTCCAGGATATAGTACTTAGATATTTCTTTAAAGAAATCCGTATATAGCAATTGATATATATTCCAACCTTAAAACTAAATAAAATTTAAAACATTTATTTAACTTACTTTATAAAAAGTACTATATAATCTTTTAATTGATCTGCTTTTTTTAAAAAACTTTACACAATCAGGATTCATTTTAACTTGTATTTTCCTCTTTGCAAACAGATTTCTCCGTCAATCAATCAACCCCCAAACAAACACGCATACCCCAATTACCCTTTAATTGCCTTAAATGAATGGCCGCAGAAAACAAAATCCCGAATCCGATGGCCTATTCCCGGTTCCATTCGATCGACCGCAGGGTTCGAACCAATCGACATGATGCTTCAGTTTATAAGCCACAAAACGTGTTGGATTTGTTTCAATGGCGCTAATTGCTTAATTGAAACTGTTTTTGCATTGGCAAGCAGTAGTGGGCTAACTGTAAAGCTATAGACATGTGTTTCGGCCCCATTATTCCACCTCCTCCTCCCTTTTCTCTCTCTGTAGGCGGCATAGCGAAATGTCAATTAGTATTTGGTTGCTAAAAGCCAAAAAGGCAGCGGCAGCAGTAACACCAGCGAATCCAATAACAACAAATACCATCTACGAGAATTAGCTTGAACCCTCACACATGTCAAGCTGTCGTATACGTAATATACACTTTGATAAGCGTTACGTATACGCCACGCTGAGCATTCGATTCTGCATTATTCGGCTAGGGAATCGAATAGAATGTATGTATGCGTAGAATACATATATGTTAATTGCAAATTTCCTCCGACTGCATCATAATTGGGCAGCATATTTCAATAATTGAAGCGCGCTATATTTTTAATTAGTTAAATGCGCGTTTAATTAGCTTTATAAATTATGCACATTCAGCGGTTAGTTGCAGCCTCTGACCATCTCGCTCCCTCTATGCACACCTCTCACTCGCTCACTCCATTGAAGCCCTGCGGGAGCTGACTTTGAGCTTTTTTACAATTATGAATATTTGTTTGTTCGACAGAGCGACAGGCCGCATTGTTGTTTCCCCGCTGCTCTGATTTATTTATGCATTTGGCTATATTTTTTTCGCCTTTATTTCCATTTTTAACGTTTTCGACTTTGTTTGTTTGTTTATGTGCCATTTCACTGTCGACGGGAAATGAACTCGAATGCACTTTTTATTTATTAACGATTGCATGATTTATGGATAAATAATTTTTAATGCATTTCATGTGGATGAGGCTTGTCAGCAGGACTTATGAATAAAAATTGCCGCTAGCGCTGGCAATATCGCGTGGTAAATGTGTAAATCAATTGAGCCAATCGAAGAAAGTCCCATTCCTGGTGTCGTAAAATATTTAACCAGTCAATTATATTGCACATAGAACATACATATAATTTACGGTTAATTTGTTTTGCGGTTCTCTGCGTTTTAATCACATTAATTCAGTTCAATTGATAAAAAACAGGATATTAATGTAGGACACTAAATTATTAAATTCTTTATTGATTTAAATTGGTAATGAAAAAGTAAGTTGGGCTTTGGGATTTCTCAATTGTTTTTCGGAATCTAATAAATTTAATTTCAGTAATCATAATAATAATGTTAGAATACAAATTTTGAAAGTCGTGTAAATTTAATTTTATTATATAAGAATTGTACAACTCTGAAAAGCAATAAGTTAAATTACATTTCTTTCTTAACTTATTTCACAAAAATTTGCAAATTTATCATGCATACGCACCGTTGTCCATTTAAAATCTTCAAATGGCGCGCGCTCGCTTGAGTGTTGAAAAACTTGGCAGTTCTCTCTCATTTGCCCTACGCACACAAGCACAGACGTCGATGGCAAATCGGCTCACACACAAAGCAATGAGAGCTGCGCAAACAAATCAACAAAGCCGAACAACAACACAAACACAGCCGCATTTCGAGAGCGCAGAACTTAGAACATCGAGCGGAAACAAACACCAAAAACGAGAGAGCGGAGCGGCTAATATCAACAACAATAAAAACACGTTCAGTTGCAAGTTAACGACCGCAAAAAGAATGCAGAAGAGCAGAAGAAACGCAGCGACAGAGACAGCAGAGAGACTTAACAAACAAAAACAAAACGGGGAGACAGAGTGAAATGAAGGAGAGTCCACATAGAAAAAAAATGTTGCTTTAGTTCAAAGATATTTCTTAAAAAATTGATCTATAACGCTTCAAATAATTTACCCATTAAATAAAAAGGTTTAAAATTTCACATTTTTTACATATTAGCTAAGAATTATATTCGTAACATGAAATGTTAGTAAAACCTCCATTCACTTATCTATTCTTTTATAAATACTAGATTATTAAAAACCCTTTGCAAACAAAATATTTCGCATGGATTTTTGCTAGTGCATATCCAGAATAAACTCGATGTCAGAACGTAATTGTATTAGTGGCAAAAGCCGCTGCCGCTGTCGACGTCGACGTCGGCGCAGCGTGTGGCTTTTATGGGTAGTTTTAAAATTAACCACACCACAGCGAAAAGAAACAGCAGAAACAACAGAAGAAGTCAAAGTCTGAGACTGGAGCGAAATTCAATTAAAAGCCAGCAACATAAAAGTGTAAAAATGCTGACGAGACGGGACGGGTCAAAAACAAAACAAAAGAGGAGAGCAGATGAGTGGAGAGGGGAGGGAAAGAGCTGGCTTGATCGGCACACAAACGCAAACATTCACACACATCGACTGACTGACTGTACAACGGGGCGTATACTCGTTTTTTTCGGCGCTTTGCTTTTCACAATCGCCAGCCAAAATAATGTGTATACGTACAGTTTTCGCTCGCTTTTTACGCTTTCTACACCAAAAAACGGCGAGAACAAAAGTCGCCACACTTAATTTGCATATTTTCGCACACACCAACATGCACAAGTGTGTGTGCGCTGTGTCACGTTGACTATCTTTTTATTTTTCTTTACCTTTTTTTTGTATTTTGGCACAATCTCACAACAAAGCACACGGTACCACGCTTCGTATGCGTAATATTGCATTGAACGCAAGCATGCAGCAAGCTAAATTCTTTTTTCTCTCATATCTGGCCTCTGTTATTCGCTGATTTTGGCATTTTTGTTTGGCTCCGCTTTTGTTTGAAAGCCAGAGCTAAATAAATTGTCATTGCTGCGACCAGATGATAAGCATATGGCCAAAACATGCGAGGCAAAAGAAATGCCGTTCGGAATGAAAATGTCACTCACAAAGTGAATACAGAAACTTATCAGTTTCATATTTTCATAAACATTTTTTCTTTACATTTTTAAATTTTTATTGTATTTATTTAGTGAAAAATCCTTTTTTGTTGTGACATGATAAATAAAAAAGAAACATTATTTATTCACAGTTTAAAATGGTACTCCGTAAATATAGAATTGTTTTTTTTTATGATTGCCTACTTATGCCAGTAAGTTTAAAAATATCACACCAATATTTATCAAAATCAGTTAAAATTTCACACAATAAAAAAAAGTTTTAAAACCTTCAAAAAATTAAAAAATAAGAAAACTGCAATTCCAATGTTAAATTAGAATGGAAAAGGATAATAAAATATTTTCGATCCCTATAATAGAGTTCAACGATCGCTTAGGGAGCAGCTCTTCCACCTGGATCTATGCATAAATCACTCTTGCCCGTTCTCTTACAGTCCCATTTGTCCCGCTTTATTTATCTCTCTCACATATCAACCCCTTGGCACTATGAAATGAACCGTGTACAACCCCATTACAAATGACAAACTGCCGCTCGACATTTACTCTCCGGTCGGTCTCTCCGTGGCCCTGCGTCCACCCCAATCCCAATCCTCTCAAGCAATAGTTAGTGCTGAAAAATTGACAAAGACTGCAGCAGCAGCTGCCTTTTGTTGTCCTATGCCATAAACATAAAACATAAAACTCGCACACCCCCATTCAAATAATTGCAATTTCGGGGGTTGAAGTACCGAGCGCAACAATTTGCAAGTGGCATCAAATTAACAACGACAAATGTGAAATTATAAAGTAACGTATATTCATTGGACTCTCTTAGATGCTACAGAATGAGAGAAGCTGCCACAAATTCAATTTACAAAAAATGCGTTCAGTGTATGTAGGAAATAAACGTTGCTGACTTTTTGCAGTGTCTTTTCACTACGCTTACGATTCGAAAAATTAAGTAAATACGTTAAAGTAAATGCGTAAAGTATATAAAATAAATATAGTAAGCAGAGTGCTGAGATAGTGCAGAATTATTTCCAAGGAAAAATATATAAACTTTTCCCGAGAGCAATTCGAGTGCTTACACATTATAAAGTTAAATTAGAGAATATTCATTAAATTACATTTGTTTTGGAATTTTGAGTATATGTTGGAGATTTCGTACAAATTGCATACTAAATGACTTGCAATTGATTTCATGTGTGTTGTGAAATTAAATGAAATTGTGAAATATTCTTCAGCTTGTTCGGTTTATAAATGCGGGGGGAATGGAGAGGAAATGTTTGCAAATCAAATTCGAATCGTTGTGCGCATTTGTTTATAAATATCATATTTTGCTGATACTGAAGCTCGATAAGATTGAATTGGCCGGGCGTTGGTTTACAAATTATTCATAAAAAATACGTGGATTTAAACATCAATTCAGTTTAAAAGAAATCCGAGATGCAGCATTTGAGTTTGAAGATATTTCAGTAGCTTAAAGATTGCAAACATTTCCCTAACTAACTTACTTACTAGTTTATTGGTATTTTTACATAGTTTAACTTATTTTGTTCACAAAAGTTGCTCTGTCTATAGAAAAATATATATATTTATGGTATAAAACTCTTTGCAGTCTCTTGCTTGATTTTTTTCATATCGAATATCATTTTTTTTCTTTTAAAAAGTAGTCTTTCTTGTTCTTGTTGGTTATATGTCCTTCACAACATTAAATATTTCTCCGTAGAACCTCAAAATTAATTCGTAAATATATAAATAGGATATATCGAAAATACTTGATCCCTGCTGCAAGATTGCATTTAAAATCCAAAAAAGTTAAATTGCGAGGTGTACGCTACGCTAGGGAAATGTCTCCATCATTTCCAAGTACAGTGGCATCTTAAAAGTAATGAGTAAGAAGTGTTGCTGACCCTGAACTTAAGTCTTTAGATTTCCGCCTGCTGACCCACAACCGTAAAGTAGCTGGTGATCTTGCGATTTGCCTTTGTCTTGCCATCGGCAGCCGTCGAGCTGGACAAAGCGTTCTCCTTCTCCGGTGTGGTCTCCTCATCGTCTTCGGGATGGCTTGCCGGTTCCATTTGCATGGACACCGTGACTTGAACTTGGGCGCGCCCTGCTCCCGCATCTGCTGGTAGTTCCTGGCCACCTCCATCGAGTTTGACCTGCGATGACTCCTCGGGTATTTCCGGAAGAGCACTCAAGCTGCGCTTAAGGTCATGCAGTAGTTTCTCCTGGGCTGCAATCTTCTGTTGCAGCTTTTCGCGTCGCGGACGTCGTGGCGCTGCTTTGGCATTGGGTTCTTGTTCTTGCTCCTTTGCCGTTTTCCGAACTTTTTTATCAGCCTTGACAACTTCAGGGGCCTTCTCCTCGTTGCCATGCTCACGCTCCTGATGGCGCAACAGATTCACGCGGGAGGAGTATCCGCGCTGGCACTGATCGCAATTGTAGGGCTTTTCCCCGGTATGCCTGCGCATGTGCACCCGCATGTCGATCTTCCGGGCGAATCGCTTGTCGCACAACTCACACTGAATGGGCTTATCGCCGAGATGAGTGCGCCGATGGACCACCAGATTTTGGCGAGCACGGAACGCCTTGCCGCACAGATCGCAGCTGTAGGGCTTTTCGCCCGTGTGAATCCGGACGTGGATAGACAAGTCGGAGCTGCGAACGAATCCCTTGTTGCATTTGTCGCACTTGTAGCGGCGATCGTTCTTGTGATGACGCATGTGGAGCGATAAATCCTGCTTGGTGGCCAGTGGCATTGAGCAGATCTCGCATTTGTACGCCTTCTCGGTGCGATGACGCAATTGGTGCTCCACCAGACGCATCTTCAGGCGGAACGCCCTGCCACACTGTCCGCAGATGTATGGTTTTTCTCCGGTATGAAGACGCAGGTGATCCTGCATTCTCGAGAAGCGCTTGAAGGTTTTGCCGCAGAAGTTACAGGTGTGAATTCCACCATTACGCTGCGACTCCTCGGATGACTCACGTTTGATTGAGGTGAAACTCTCATCCGTTGAGCTGTTGTGGGGCGAAACAGTCGCTGAGGAGTCATCATCTACCTCCTCCTCATCGTCGTCGTCCTCCTCCTCTTCATCTTTGACTTCCACCACATATTCAACTTGCTGGCGGCTCTTACGCATGCGCCTCTCTGGGAGCTCTGGCTCCTCCTTAATTTCTTTTTCTTCCACCGGAATGGGTACTGGTGTGGGGGACTTGTGCTCTTTGCGGCCGCGCTTGCGCTTTGTTGGGACGAGCGGTTCCTGTAAGAAAAGGGTGTTAATTGGGAGTTCGTGAGGTCAATTTGAGTTAAATCTTACTTCAGTTTTATGCTGCTGATTCTTCTCCGATTTGTCTTTCTCTACCTTTTTTGATTTTGAGGCTTTCTCTGGCTGGGGTTGACCTTGTCCTGGCTTTTCCAACTGTTGCTGGTGCTCTTCGGTACCTTTTTCATCAGATGCCTCTTTTTGAGTATCGTCTGCAGGAATGACATTCTTCTGTGTCTCCGTGTCTTCGTTTACCAGTTCCATGGGCTCTTGTGCATCTTTCTCCAGAGGCTGATTTTCCTTTACAGCTTCTTCCAGCGGTATATTGTCCTTTTGTGCCGCTACCACCGACTGCTTCTCTTCACCAGACTCCTCTACCTTTTTTAAATCTTTCTCAGGCGACTGTTGATCGTTAAGCACCTGCTGCTCCTTTACATCGTTTGTCAACGATTGCTGATCTTCCTGCGGTGACACCTCACCATTCTCAGACTTCTCCAGCGACTGGTGCTCTTCTGTCTCAGGCTTCTCTGGTTCCTGGGTATCTACTTCAGCTTGCTCAGCCATCTGATGATCTGTCTCTGATTCCGCCGGTTTTTGTTGGTCATTCTCAACATTTTCCGGCTGTGACTGCTCTGTAGAAATGATCTCCGGCTGCTGCTCAACCACCGAATCCAACTGCTCTTCCTCCTTTTTGTCCAATTTGGTCTTCTTCTCCTGCTTCCGCTCCCTGCTCTTCTCCGACTTATCCTTTCCGACCCGGATTTTCTCTGGCTTTGTTCGCTTTCTGCCCCTTTTGTTGGTCGTGGGCAGCTTGATGATCATCTTGCTGACCTTGGGACTGCTGGTTTTCTTCACCCGCTCAGCTGCGATTTCCGCCACCATGGCATTGATCATGGCCAGATCCTCCTTGTCGTTGGACACGGTACTTGGTGGCGTTTCCTTGGCATCCTGCTCAGGCGGTGGAGTTTCTGGTGCCGGAATGGGCAGCTGCAGCTGGACATTGGCTTTGCCCAAGGCCAGCGCCCCCGGAATGGTGACCATGGCCTGCGGCGGGAGATCGGTGGGTTCCTCCTTGGGCACGAGCAGCTTGAAGTACCCGTGCTGCTGGGTGAGATGCTCCTGAAAGCGTACTTCATCCACGAACTGTGAGTTGCAGGCGAGACACAGCTGCAGCAGGGAATCCCCCTGGACGAGCAACTGGGCACAGGGCTTGAGGTGGCCCACTTCCAGGAGGTCAGGGTTCAGGGGAGGAGTGACCGGTGCTTCTTCGGGAGAAACCTTGGCCTTACCGCGTTTCCTCTTCGGCTTCTCGGCATGATCCCGCTGGAAGTGTCTGGAGAGGATCAGGCTGTCGGCGTAGTGGTGAGTGCAGCTGGAACAGCTGTAGATGAAGCGACGCGACTTTTCGTCCGCCAGAACTTGGGCGGCCACCAGGGAAGCACTGGAAACGAGGGAGGCGATGGACGCACTGGAAGCCTGCGAACTGGTGGAAGCCCTGCGCTTGGGCCTTCCACGTTTGTTTTGGTTCTTCGGCTTTCCAGTTTCCTCCAGCTGCTCTGCTTTACCGTTACTGACCTGCGCTTGCTGTGGTTGTTCTTCTTCTTTCTCTGCCTTTTTTGTTGTCTTCGCTGCTTCCTCTTTCACCAAGCGGATGCGCTGCGCTTCCAGTTCCGCCTCGTCCTCGCTGTCGATTTGGAGCACCACATCGTCCGGCAGATCGTCCTCCTCCTCCTCTTCCTCGTCCTCCTCCTCTTCCATATCGGACTCATCGGTCTCCTCGTCGCCGTTTGTTTTCTTCATTGTCTGCAGCGCATTTGGATTTGCAACATTGGCCATTTTCAGCATGCCTGACATGGAACGCTTGCTTTTCTTTTAACAAATCGGAGTGGAATAAAACAGGCAAAAAGTCGAAACCGCGGCGCAGCGTTGAGAACACAGCCAAATCCACCGACGCTGCTGGAAATTTTTATTTTTCTGCCGCTCTTTCTCTCTCCGCGCTCTCTTTCGCGTTCTTACCCTTGTTCGTGTGTGTGTGCGAGCGTGCAAAAATCGCTGCTGCATGTGTGCGTGAGCGTGATCGATTGCAACCCTGTTTGAGCGCAGTGCTGTAAGACGAGGGTGGCAGTGCGCGCCAAAATTCAAATAAAACAGGGCGTTAAATTCGGGATGCCAAAATAAAACCACAGCTGCCGCCACTAATGCCGTTTTGATAGATATTTGACTTTTGCTGCAGAAGCGGCCAACTAGTTAGGTATTCCGTTCACGCGCTCAATTGGCACGTTTTTGCTATGCACTCATTTTTGTGTGTTTCGCCTCTTTTTGCACTACTTCGCGGCTGACATAATGGCCAAAACTCAAGGTAGTGCAGTTAGTTTAGAGTTTTTAAATGTTCTGGATTTTATTTGTAATTTTTGTAAATTAATAATTAATTTATTTAAAATTTAAAAAGTTAAATTTATTTTTTATTGCCATTTAGGACTAGAATGATAAAAATATAGGTACCAAGCAATAAATAATGATATGAAGGATTAAATATTTAAGAAATCTAATTTCTCTTGGTATTGTAAAAAAAACTAATGTAAACCAAATTTTAAGTTTTCCCAAATATTTTTTTTACTCATTAAAGATATACTATATTATCCCCAAATAATATAATATTGAATATGAACATGTCAGGCATTTTATAAACTTAATATTTTTTGATGTGTTATATTCAACATATATTTTAAAAGTCCGGTTTAAATGTAAATTTTCACGAATCCTTTGTAGCCAAAAAAAAATCATACAAAAATGTACATAATTAAATTCCATCAAAAGCCTTGAAGGTTGGGGTTTTTAATTTTAAGCTCTTTATAAGTACTTACTATAATCCCTTTCTTAGGTCCTTCAGCCTTTTCTTATAGAGTCTTGGCAGCACTGATTCGCACATACCCAGACAGTTGAAGCCTATTGTGATGTTTTTTTTTTGTTTTAGTGGAGCATACTTTGGCTACATTGTTTGCCCGCATTTTCGCTACGCCGTCAACATGTGCAAAAGTCAATTTGAAAATTGCCGCAACTGCCGCACAACCGCCCAATAGGCAGGAAAAGTGGTACTTTGTGGTTTAAGGCTTGTTTTCCATGGCCCCTCACACTGGTGTCCATAAACAATCGACCCGGAACAACCCACCGGGAAGTTGTTTATATTGTTTTTAATAACATTCAGCGTTTCGCACAGGCAAGGGCACCATGTGTGGCGTGCATTTTATAAATTACACTAACTTTTTTCTTCCCACTGCCTACGCACGCCGTTTGCATTTTATGTATTAGTTGAACTTTCAGCAAGTTCAAAGTACATAAATCAAATGGTCGAGCAGCAGTTACTCAAATTAAACAAAAAAAAAAACCAAAAATCTTTCGTTTAAATGTGCAATATTAAATTATATTGCATTAATATTAAAATGAATATCTCAAACAAAAATGGCAACGATGTAAATAAGTTTAAGGATTGTAAAATAATATTTTTAAAAACACACTTCATTGCACAAAAGATAAATATGTAAATGAAAAAGTGAAAATAAATATCCCAAACAAAAAAGGCAAGCTTTTGTGTTTACAGATGGAAAAATAATATTTTTAAACGTATATTTAGTTTTACAAAACATGTAAATGAAACAGGACAATTTGCTTTTTAAAGATAAATTTAAAAATTTCATTTTGTAAGATTTGACTCAAGATTATACTGGTTATAGCAGAATTTACATAATAATTATAAAAATTATTCCATTTAGGCACCGAAACTACTTATTTGGATTTACTTCAGTTTGGACTTCAGTTCCTAACGGATGGGATTTATTATTTAACCAAAAGATACATTTCTCAACAGTTTATCGCTCAACCCAGGCTTAAGTAATATTTCGCCAATTCAAATTGAATTTGTTGGCCAAAAACATAAACAGGGACTAAATTTGATATACGGTTATATAATTTAGTTTTGGGGAAATGCGACTTTCGTGACAGTCCCCCGGATTTTTCCCCTTTTCCCACCAAGTCAGCTGGGGGCGTACAAAAAGAGATAGAAAGTAAACGGGACGGGAAATGAAATATTCGCAAACAAATAGACACACTTATTACTTTTTCGTCCTGGATGCGGGATGTTGGATGTTAGATGCTCCTGGCGCGTGTTTCGTTTGCTCCGGCGGAAGACGCTGAAGACGTCTTCATGTTGTCGGTTTTGTCCTTTTTATTGTTGTTCTGCCTTCCACTGACAAGCCGCAATTTTTCTTCATTTCTGTTTTCGTGTGCAAAGACCCACCGAGGACCTTGCCCGAGATGGATGGGTTGTCTTGCTAATAATTTAGCAGTTAGTTTTAATGCGCTACAGTTGCTGATGATGGGACATTTGTCCAGGGAGCACACAAAACGTACGAAAATAAAGCGACCAATTTACCGTCGAGCCTATCTGATTCTAACAATTATAATTATGTGTCGCCAGCAAATGGAAAGTTAAAAAAATAGTTGTTAATTTAGGAACATATTTGAATTTACTTATGAATGAAAATTCTTAAAAACTTTTTATAAACAAATAACAACATTTAATAAGAGGAAAAACACTTTATCTCCAAAAACTAATTTGTTTTAAGACTTTTTAGAAATAAAATATACAAAAAAATATTTTGTAAGGCATATAATAATCTTAATCATAAATATCAAAGAGAGAGTTTTTTAATATTAAGATATCCGTCACAAAAAAAAATATAATTGTAATAAAATTGCCTAACTATTTTTACAAAATGTTTCCTTTAATAGTAGGCCATTCGCAAGCCTCTGAGTTCGAACTAATGGCATCTTGTCCAGATCCTGGCCCTGGGCAACATCATTTTTCTTGTCTCCGGCTCAAAGAAAACAATGCAATTCTGACATGCGTTTAGTTTAGGGCCTAAAACATTCTTTTCCATTGTTTCCCCTCTTTCGCATGCCAGACCGACACGTGTTTTTGCGATGAAGGCCGAAATGGTATTTGCATGCCCGCTGCTACAAGAGTTTAATTAGTTAAACAAAGAACAGAGGCTGCAGCAGACAGAGCCATAAGTTAGCCGAGTAACCCCGGGCCAACCCAGACCCAGACCAGAGACCCTTGACGTGGATCAGACGCCCAGATCCAGGAGTCCAGTGGGAGGCATAGGTAGCATTTAACGCCTGTCTTCACGGTTCCCCGGGAACTGTTGTCTGCCGCCAGCCACAACTTCAAATATAAAGTTGTCGGGGGACTGGAGCCCCGGGGCACTGAGCTTGGGGTTCCCGGATCTTGTGGCAGGCCTAACAGGTGGGGAAAACGGGGGTCACAGTCATAATAATGTTTCAAGGCCGCTTTGGCCCCAGGCGTAGACATTGGGGAGAAATTTAAACGGCAATTTGGTGCCGTGTTTACCAACCCCAAGGACATGGAGTAGCAGGACGAGGAAAGGACGACGACGGCAGCATCCAAAAATGTGGGCTGAACTTTTATTTTTGGCTCCCTTTCAGGGGGCGGCGGGGAACAAAACTGCTTACGTGCCTGAGAAGCCTTCGAGCTGCTGGCTTCTGTCTGCCATCCATCTTACACTGAGAACAAATTCTTAAACAAAACTTTTCGATATATTTGTAATTAAAATTAGTATTTTATTACTCAGCTCTTCCCAAAAACATATATTTTTATACCCGTTACTCGTAGAGTAAAAGGGTATCACTATGGACGGCAGTCCATGTAGTGACGAAGCGCACCAGGAGAGTGTGCGAAGGCGACTACTATATATACACGAAGAAATGAAAATCTACTGTGATGGTCCGATCATAATGAATAATACACCTATCGAAAGGTATTGCGAAAACTAACAGGATTGCATACCAAGACTTTAAGAAAATCAATTGGCTTGGGAGAGAGAGCGGTGAAAGTGAAAAAGTGAAAATTTCGAAATTTGGAGCTGTTGGGGCCGGTGGGGATAAATGCCCCCTCGCAATGTTTTAGTTGTATTCCTTTTGAAAATACCCGTCGAATGAGGGGTCATTTGTCAAAATCCGACTCTCCGTTCAAAAGTTATAGCCAAAATAAGATTTTCTTCTTCTTCCCAAAATGAAAATTTAATTCTGTTTGTCCACTTGTCCACTTGTCCAAAATATGTTTTTTAAGTTCTGGAAATTTGATATGACGTTCATAACATCGATATAAAAAACTTTTGTTCTACCACTTTTGGAAAAACTCGCTAGTTTAGCGGGAAAACAGCTATAAATAGCTAAAAATCGGAAAGCCGTAACTTCTATACTACTAAAGCTACAGGCTTGTGCTGCATCGCGTTTGAAAGGTATTTTTAAATGCTATAAACGCCTTCTATATGCAATTTGTGTAAATGTAATACTTAAAAAAATATGAACAAAAGACAATTTTTTTAAACTTTTTTTTTAGCTTTTTTTTATTTTTCTCAAAAACGGCTCTAACGATTTTCTTTAAAACCTTAAACTGTATAGCCCTTGAGATTCCTTAAATTTTGGTATATAACACATTACTGTAAAAAGTCACGTTTAAAAGTTATTTTTATTCGAAAATAGCCACTTTTGCCAGCTCGAACAATTAACGCTCCCTGAGTATTGAATTTTGTGGGAGGGTATCCGAACTGTATTTTAGAGTCATGGAATCAGTAAATTTGCACTTAAGAGTTCCATATAGGAATCTTTTGTTCTACGACTTTTGGAAAAAGCCGCTACTTTAGCGGGAAAAAAGCTAAAAATAGCTAAATTTCGTTTGCTTGTAAGTTCTACACTACTAAAGGTATACCCATGTGCTATACCTCGTTTAAAAGGTATTTTGAAATACTTCAACGCCTTTTTAAATTAATTCGTTAAAATACAATAGTTTAAAAATTATGATTGACCAATTTAAATTTAAATGTATATATTAGCTCCTATGAGAGCAAATGTATACAAACAAAAACTTCTGATATCAAATAAAAACACCTCTTAACGAGGTAAAAAACTAGTGACGACCGCACCTTCAACATA